ACAGACTCCTGTGTATGGCTCGGAATAAAACCTTCATGTTCCTTACAATTTGCTGAATAAGACAAACAATGTAACTAAAAGCAAGAATTAGTGAAACAATGAGAAAGACACTGCTACCTAAACGTACTAACATCCTTCATACTGATGATGACTATCCTGGGAAAGACTGAGAAAAGATGGAACCTGTTCCAACTATTGGGTATGTTGGAAGACAATTTGGCAGTTTCTCACAAACTAAACTGTGGCTGCACAGTTTTGCTCCTTGATATTGACCCATGCAGTTGAAAAGTTAATATTCACCTTAAATTGAGCACCCAAGCATCAATGACAGCTTTATTCATTGATGGGAGATGTCATTCTGTAAATATGTTTCTCTTGTTGATTAATGAATGAAGCCATTTTGGCCAATAGAAAAGCAAGATAGGCAATACTGGGAGACAAGGAGGATTCAGTGAGCAGTAGGAGGAGATTCAACATGTATGGATTTGAGAAGAAAGTCCTGATTCTCTCTCCAGTAAGATAAGACCACGTGGAAACACTTAGATGAATAGAAATGTGTTAATATTTAAGACAGATCTAGCCAATAAGAAACACTAGTAACTGGACAATAGCTTTATATCTAATACAGTGTCTCTATGTGTTAATTGGGGCTGACACAACTCTGGATCCAGGCTGATGGGAAAACTGCTTGTAACAATTCATAATACCACATTTTTTTTGTGATCATGACAGCACATATTGTGATCCTAGCACTCAGGAGGTAAAGGCAGACAGATCACATAGTCAAGCCAGCATAACTGTATGGAAAATATGCCCTTTAACAGGGAAGCATACTGCTTATATTTGGGGTGTGAACAAAACGTTCCTTGGGAAGTAAGTGAATTACAATGTCTGTGGCACCAAGCTATGAAAACTCACAGATACAGAATAAATGTATATTTCTAAATAAAGAAGTCATAAGAAGAGACTATAGACTATGCTATTTCCACTCTGTGACATCCTGGAAAATATAAAACCAGGAAGATAGAAAACCATAGTCATGATTGCCAGGAACTTGGGGGTAGACAAAAAAAAGAGAAATAGATAAAATGTGGGATGGATCTAGATTGTAAGATATATTAGAAATGGTAGCTACATGGTATTATGCTATGCACTTGGTAAACTTCATAGACTGGAAAAAAGAAAAATGAAATGAGATATTCACCCCTCCCACACCTGTTGTACTGACCACACCCCAGTGGATATGTAACTACAGACAAGTTCATTTTTTATTCTTATTGAATTATTTTTTATATATGTTGTATCTTAACTCCTTGTCAGTGTATAGTTTACAAAACATTCCCTTCCATTTTATTTTAAAGAAGCCAATTTATAGTAAAGTTTTCTTACAAAGTAACATAAGAAGTATGTTTCCTAAATATCAATAACAGCATTTCACTCTTATTAATGCAGCTCTCTATTTCATTCAGTGAGCAGTTCATGCTAGACATAGATATAGTATGCTGATGAAGACAGTAACAAGTGCATATAGACACAGAGATACATGATGTTGATGCTGTGATGGTCTGAAAGAGAATGACCCCCATAGGCTCATGTATTTGAATAGTCACCAGAGAGTGGAACTGTTTGGGGATGATTAGGAGGTGTGGCCTTGTTGGAATAGTGTTGTGGCCTTACTGGAGGAAATTTGTCACTGAAGATAGTCTTTGAGGTTCCAAATGACCATGCCACATGCCAGACTTAATCTCTCTCTCTCTCTCTCTCTCTCTCTCTCTCTCTCTCTCTCTCTCTCTCTCTGTGTGTGTGTGTGTGTGTGTGTGTGTGTGTGTGTGTGTATCTCCTGCATGCAGATTAGGATATAATCCCCTCAGCTACTGCTCCAGTGTCATCCTGTCTAAATCCTACCATAAAGATCATGGACTGATCCTCAAAATTGTATGCAAGTCAATTAAATGTTTTAATTTATAGGTTTTGCCTTGGTTATGGTGTCTCTTCACAGCAATAGAGCAGTAATTAAGAGATGTGCACATGGCTAATAGATGGTAGCATTAATAAATGATTAATGTTCATAAGAAACCTATGAGGATGGGTTATTAAAATAAAAAACAAAAATCGTGGAAAGTGAAATGCCTTGATAAAGTTACATAATCCATTATTACTTCCAGGATCCTAACTCTGTATTAAAAATGTTCATGTGGCTTTTTCTAAGCATGGGGAAAGCAAAACAGACTCTCTCAAGGTAGCTTTGAGGTTTTGATCTCATCCTCTTGAGAACTTGAATTGTAGGCAGGCATTACTATCTGGACAGAACATATTCTGTCCATACTAACATCCATTAAGATTATTTTTTTTTACTTTTAACCAAGATACAGGCAAAAATGATAGGTACAGAAAATAAACTCATGCCTTAACTTTTCCTGGTTAAAGATGCAATAGAGAGAGTGCTAAATAAATATGAATAAGGCCTCATAGATGCTATACCATTGTGACTATGTAAAGACAAACTGGAGATTTACCTAGGAGTGAGGAGTAAGGATTGTGAAATGAGCATTAAGACAGTTAAAAAAGAATAAAAGCACATGGAATTAGCAAATTTCCAGACTAAACTTCTGTTTGATGCCAAAAGAAAATGGATGCTGGGCCATGATAGATCTAACAAGAGATATAGGGTACCTAACCTAAGCATCTGCAGTGATTAGAGGATGAGGGTTACAGGCCATGACGGGAAGCAGTAACAGAGACATTTGTGTGTGGTATAGATGTCCTTAGATCTTTGAGCATCTCTTGTAAAGCTGACAAAGATAGTGAAGGATAGTGTTATGTCCTTCTTTCTCAGCTGTCAGAACATTAGTTGTCAGAACATTAAGAAGGCAGTGCTATGTGTAAGTAGTGGGTGAAGGCCAGGCTGCTGCTCACCCTCCCACAGGATCCAAGAAGACTTCAAAACAAAGTTTTCCAACCCAGATGTCAGTGATGTCAATGTCTAAATATGTTATGTTTGGGGATCTATGATTTGTATCTGTGCATGGACAAGCATAGGGTTAGTGGGACCAAATGGAATAAAATGTTGACTGCTCATTCTTCAGTGTTTTGGATATGTTTCCAACTACTTGAGGAAGGAAGCTAGGGATAGAAGCTGACAGAGCTGATTTTAAAGTAAGTGTTAGAAGTCTGAGAATAGTTCTGCTGCCTCCAATTCAGAGAACAGAGTTCAACTGAGGACAGGGAAAGGGTGTTTTCCTCACTTCGGCTAAGATCCAGATGTGAATCTGGTTTTATAGTGATGTCTCCCTCATCAGCATTTTAATCATAGCAGTCATCAAAGCCCAAAACTCCTTCAACATGTCACAGGAAGACAGTTTAAGTCGAGGAGTAATGAATGGGTAAATAGGTAACATTCAGAGGCTGCCCCTAGACCTATCTGAACATGTTATTGGCTCCAGTTCCATGTTCTTAAGTCTGGTAGATAAGTAAGCTGTGTCGGGATGTTCTAAAGTGGTTTTATTACAGGGTATACTGAAATAGGGTGCATGTACACTGGAAAATCCCATGTAAGATTGCCTTTGGATACCCAGACAGACCCAGTTCTCTTCCTTCACCTATACTCAATTGTTCTCACGCTAGGCTTTATTAGCAGGCACTCGGGCTTTTACAGTAGAGCTTCACTATTATCTAGGAAAACTTTTTCTGGAATAAGAGTAAAAAAGACTCAAAAATGAGAGGGGCTTGTCAAAAAATACCCAAAGCTGTTGCCCAATTACAGAGAAATATAAAAGTTGTAGGTAATGAAATCTATTGAAATGTAATTATCCAGCAGGCCATACTCTTATAGATAAATATTAAAATCCCCTTTAAAACAGTTAAACTGGCAACTATTAAACAGAAATGAAAGATGGGAACTAGGGAAATTAATTTTGTAAACAACATCTTTAAAAAGTTTCAACCAAGAATTACCAATGGATTCTTACACTAATGGGCAAAAGCTTGAAAGATAAGGATCTTTAAAATGTGTAAAACTGTGCCTCAGAAAAAATTAATGATTACTAAGGGAAAATACTTACTTTTAAATGGAGGGATATGGCTAACATTCTAGCCTTGAGGAGCATGGCTGACTCTGGAAAAAGCTAAATGGCCTTTTCAAGGCATTTACAGGATGGTAGTGTGTAAAAGAGATGAGTGTCTAGACTTGTGAATATTGTTATCAGGCAACAGTGACTGCTTGGGAAGTTTGCTCTGAGCATAGCATTGTCCCTTTACACTGGGGCCACACAGCACTATCACTGAGAAGAGTGGCAGCAATTCAGTGCCGGCACATACAGTATTATTTTATTACCTCAAACATCTACTCATGGTTTTTTCTTTTTTTTTCAATTAACACAATTTAGTAAAAGAAAGCAGTGGTTTTAAAAGAAGAGGGCAATGTGAGGAAACATTTTCTCATGAAAAATAGATGATGAGGTAACTTCTTGGGAAGACTTTAAAATTTTACCAGACACAGGTGAGCATACAACACAGAGTGGGACCTTATAGCACAAAGCTCTATTGTTAACCAAGAGTCCAGGGGACATACTTAATTTAGCAGGTTAGCCTTATTGTTTCTAAAAGACCACATTAAGACACTAAGGAAATGACACAATAACAGGAAACTTCTTTTCCCATTTTATAGGGCACACTAAATAGGACTGAAAGTTTTTCTTATCTCACATACTTTAGCTTCTTATGAAAGCTCATTGAGACGACTATTATTATCCTATTTTTCAGAAGGAATGGTAAGATTTGATAACCTTTACTCATAACTACTGTGCTATATTACTACTTTGACCATGTCCCCTGTACACAGAGAAGACTCATGGAAGTTTCATGCAGGCAAGAAACTTGAATATCTAAGAATATCAACCAAAAAGCAGGGCTCTCCAGGATTCTGTGTTGAGGTTGGAGCACAGGAATTTATCCCTGCGTAAGATACATGGAGTTGGCTTTCTCCGCTGGCCCCAGCGTGCCCGGCAGCTCCTCCCCGGCCACGGCATTCATTTTCGCGTCCTTCTGCTATATGCTGGCGCTGCTGCTTACCGCTGCGCTCATCTTCTTCGCCATCTGGCACATCATAGCGTTTGATGAGCTGAAGACTGATTACAAGAACCCTATAGACCAGTGTAATACCCTGAATCCTCTTGTACTTCCAGAATATCTCATCCATGCTTTCTTCTGTGTCATGTTTCTTTGTGCAGCAGAGTGGCTTACACTGGGTCTCAATATGCCCCTTTTGGCATACCATATTTGGAGGTATATGACTAGACCGGTGATGAGTGGCCCTGGACTCTATAACCCAACGACCATCATGAATGCAGACATTCTAGCCTACTGTCAGAAGGAGGGATGGTGTAAACTAGCTTTTTACCTTCTAGCCTTTTTTTTACTACCTATACGGCATGATCTGTGTTTTGGTGAGCTCATAGAACAACGCAGAAGAATCGGTCCAGTTAAGTGCATGCAAACCGCCAGTAATGAAGGGATTATATCCAGCAAGGTCCTGTTTCCAAGAGTAGCCTATGGAATCTGATCAGTTACTTTAAGAAAAAAATGACTCCTTATTTTTTAAATGTTTCCACATTTTTTTGCTTGTAGAAAGACTGTTTTCATATGTTATACTTGGATAAAGACTCTAAATGGAAGTATGTATAAATTAATATAAAAATGATTACCTCTGGTGTTGACAGGTTGAAATTGCATCTTAAGGAACAGCCATAACCCTCGGAGTGATTGCATTAATTGCTGACTGCCCTGAGTCCTTTGGGAGCTTTGTTAGAGGGCTCAATATAAATTAGCTGTAGATACGAGGTGCTTCTGGAGAACTGAAAATGTGTATCTGACTTGTGGGAAACATCGCAGGTTTCCTCACTCATCACTGTAGATGATTGTGTATGGATACGACAATAAGAAGAGTGGGATTCCTTTCCCTGACGACTTGAATATTATCCCTATGTATTGCATGAGAGAGGGCTTTCCCTCCTTTCCATCAGAGTAATCAATACACTTGCTTTAATTGTTAAGCATAAGTGATATAAGCATATGCTGAATTACCTGTAAAGAATGCATTTAAAGCTATTTTAAATGTGTTTTTATTTGTATGACATTATTTGCTAAGAAATTGGTTATATTTTGCTTACTGTCCTAATCCAGTGGTCTAGGTATTAAGAATTTGCAAGTACTTTAGATTTTCAAAAATGAATTTGAGAACTGTGTAACCACCCTGCTGTTCCTTCAGTGCAACACGATAAAACTCTGAAAAAAAAAAGATACATGGAGTTGATTCTGAGGGCAATAATAAAATCAGAATCTGCACTGATCACCAAGGACACACTCAAGACTGATATAGTATGCAAGTTCAGCTCCAGAAACAACACACCTATATAATTTGCTTTACAACTGTATTCCAGAATACTAAGGTGGAATATGAGAACAGTTCTGTCTAGAATCTTGGTTGTGAAATTTTATAACTTACTTGGATTGTTCTGACTTGCTTTGCTCATTTGTCACTTTTACATTTATGTGGTAACAACTATTTAACACTATGATTGTGAATGTTAATGATAATTGTGTATAAGGATAAATTCACTGACTGCTTTAAGTAAGTAATGAATGGCTCTTGGTACAGATAGTAGGAAAAAAAACAGGTACAAGTTGAAGTACAGTTGATCTTAAGATGAAGATGGCTGCCTATTGACAAATGGTCATAACACTACATATAGAATGAGGGGAGGGATTCAGAACTAAGGCACTAACCAGAGACAAGGCTGACCTCAGATTTCACTTCTATAATTTACTCATTGTTGTTGGTACATTCCTACCAACACAGAAAACCTGGCTCATTTCAGGAAAACAACTTTCTTCTATGTTACGTAATTTCTTATTAAGTAGAATTGATCATGTGTTTCTCATGGAGATAAACTGAGACCTGGTTCTTATGCACTCAGAATATTATATACCCTTGAAGACAATAAATGCTTTGACATGCTTGTGCATATGTCAGATTCTACTGGGTGCAGAGGAACTTTTGATGAGCCCTCTGGGTCAGAGTTCATCTTCTTTTTATGATGGACAATGAAGAATTGGAGTTGCTAATAAGAGGAATGTCATTTGTTCTTAAAAAAATGGAATTCAGAGATGAAAGTATACAGAGCAAGCAACAAATAAGGTAGTACAGCTTATAATGGATGTGTGGTTTCAGCCATTTTTTATTGTTAATCATGACAATTAGCTCCAGCTGATTTAAATAGCAAAATATATGAGTTGTTCCCTGACAGGAAAGTACCAATCATGAAACTTAGAAAACAGCAAGTTCTTCCATTGACAATCACAGAAAGAACATATTTGGCTGGAAAAATTAATTTACCTACAATCCCACCACAAACATTCTAAAATGACAAGACCATAAATGGAGAAAAACAGCAGAATCTTATAAGGTTAAAAGAAATGAAGCAGCAACAACAAAAAGCTAAGAACAGTGAAAGCTACTGCATCTGGGACCCAGATGCTGGTAGGACTTAGAGAGAGGTAAAGCATAATAGTGAGCCAGCAGAGGGGAGACCAGGATACAAACTAGACTGTCCAAATGTTAATCTACTGGCAGAACCATTTCCTGAACACATGAGCAAAGGGAAAAGGGCAGCTAGGGAGAAGTGATCTTGAGGTTTCCTCATATTGGCAGGTAATTTCTCCTTCCACAGAGAAGCTAGAAAGTTTCTTTTCCACAGAGGGAAACTTATAAGGTTTCTGCCTTAAGCAACTTCAGAGACAGTTGGAAAAGAGGAAAGCAAGATTAACTAAAAATTTATAAGCTGAGTACTGAGACATCCACTGGGACCCAAAATATTAGCAGTCAATCACGAAACTTCTAGGCAGGGAAATGAAAGATGTTTCCTCTGAGAATGCTATTAGATCTCTTCTTAGAGAGGGGTGTTCGTATTCTCCAATACTTTAGCTTGCGAAGTCCAGACCTAAAAGAGTGCATACCCACAGGACTGTCTCCCTCAGCTAGCAAGATGAACAGACAGATGATTTGCCATCTGAGAAAAAGCTTACATAGAAGGAAAACACTAAAAGAAATCTTTAAAAAGGTAAAAATTAGCAATTTATGAAAATACTTTCAACAGAGAAAATATTACTTGAGATAAAAATATGAAAATAGTTCTTAAAAATATAAGTTCAGCAGATGTTAAAAATTGAACTGGGATTGGAAGACATAGCTTCAGAACATAGGGGAAATGAAGAGATGAAAACAAGTACGTTAAAAATAAAATTAAAGATGTATGTTATTCAGTCAATCGCAGTTCTAAGAAGAGATTCTACATATATGTGAAAGAAAGTAGTAAAGAATCACTTCAGCAAGCCTTCTTGATTTTATTATATGGGAATTCAGGTTAAAAATGTCCATTTGCAGATAAACAATTTAAATTACCTATAACTCCTAAGGAAATAAAACAGTCATTAAAAATTTCCCAAACAAAAAAGGCCTCCTCAATTATTCCACATGATAGAAACAGAAGAAAAAATTGCCAAATTCATTCTCTGAAGCTACTGTTACCCTGCTACCCAAATCACAAAAAGACTCAACAAATAAAGAAAATTACAGACACATTTCACTCTTGAACACTGATGCAAAAATAGTTAACAAAATACTTGTAAACAAAATCTAAGAACATATCAAAAAGATCATCCACCATTATCAAGTAAGATCCATTATCAAGCGGGCTGCATACTAGAGATGCAGGGATGGTTCAACATACAAAATCTGTCAATATAATACACCATATAAATAAGCTGAATAACAAACAAAAACATGGCATCTCATTAGATGCTGAAAACTCCTTTCACAAAAATGCAATACCCCATCATGATACCAGTCTTGATGAGATCAATGATACAAGGAACATATCTAAACATAATAACATATCTAAACATAATAAAGGCAATATATGACAAGCCAATAACCACCATCAAATTAAATGAAGAGAAACTTAAAACAATTACACTAAAATCAGGGACAAGGTTGTCCACTCTTTTCATATCTATTCAATACAGCACTTGAATATTTAGCTAGAGCAATAAGACAACAAAAAGAGATGAAGGGGATACAAACTGGAAAGAAAGAAATCAAACTACTTGTAGATTGTATAATAGTACACATAAGCAACCCCACAAAGACTACCAGGAACTCCTACAGCTGACAAAACACCTTCCAGAAGATGGCTGATTATAAAATAAATAAGGAAAAAACAAGTTGCCCTCCAATATACAAACAATATGTGTACCGAGAAAAAAAAATTAGGGAAACACCTTTCACAATAGCCATATGTAATAGAAAATATCTTGGTGTAACTCCAACCAAGCAAATGAAAGACATGTTTGGCAAGAATTTTCTTTGAAGAATGAAGTTGAAGAAGATAACAGAAGATGGAAAGATTTCCCATGCTCATAAATTGGTAGAATTAACATACTAAAATCAATCTACAGATTAAACTAAATTCCCATCAAAATGCCAACACAATTTTTTACAGAACTTGAAAGAATAATACTCATCTGCATATGGAAAAATAAATAACTCAGAATAGCTAATCTCTTACAATAAAATAATTTCTGGAGATATCACCATCCTTGATTTCAAGCTGCATTTCGGAGCATTAGTAATAAAAAACACATGATATTGGCATAAAAACAGACAGTTTGATCAATGGAACTGAATGGAAGACTAAGATATAAATCCACATAACTATGGCCAACTGATTTTGTATAAAATACCGGAGATATACAATGGAAGAAATAAAGCATCTTCAACAAATGATATTGGTCTTACTGAATGTCAGCATATAAAACAATGATATATATCTATATTGCACAAAACTCAAGTCCCTGAACAAAACTCAAGTCCAAGTGGATCAAAGACTACAATATAAAACCAGATCTTTGCTATATATAGCCTTTATTATGGTAAGGTATTATTCTTGTACCTCACCAAGATTTTATCATCAAAAAGAAGCCTATGAATTTGAGAGGAAAACAAAGAGACAAATAATAAACTATGATATATATATACATATATATATACATACACACACATACACACACACACACATATGTATATGTGTGTATGTTGTGTGTGTGTGTGTATGTGTGTGTGTGTGGTGGTGGCACATGCTTTTAATCCCAGCACTCGGGAAGAAGAGACAGGAAGATCTCTGTGAGTTTGAGGCCAGCCTGGTACAGAGTAACAGGACAGGCATCAAAGCTGCAAAGAAACCCTTTATGTATCCAAAACTAGATCTATACATGACTATACATGACCCCCAGCCGTACTACTCTTGAGAATTTACTCAATGGGCTCCAAGTTAACACATCACAAATATTTTTGCACATTAATATTTAACTTGATACCACTTATAATAAGTTTTGGAAACAAACCAGAAGTCCAACAACAGAGGAATGGGTAAAGAAAATGTAATGTATATACCGAAATTTTTCAACCACATATTTGAATTACAATACATCATTTCAGGAAAATGTGTGTACTAGAGGTATTAAGCAAATAAAGTCACTGTTAAA